TTGGGAGCTCCCAATCAATATCGAGCTTCAAATCTAAGAAGTTCGAGGCCTTGCAGCAACACACGGCTCAACTCATCGAGAAATACGACCACCTACCAGCGGAGTACGCGCACCTCAAAGCGTCTCAAGAGCAACATAAAATGGAGTATGAGCAATAAAAAGCAGAGTATGAACAACAAAAAGTGGCTTACGAACAGCTCCGTAAAATGGTTATGAACATGGCAAATAGTGGAAGATGTGCGCCTAATCCTTTTTTACCATATAACCACCAGCCTCCTCCAGGATCTCCTCCTCCTCCTCCAGCTCCACATTTATATTAATTTGTAATAAACATTATTTAACTTTAAAACTTCATTTAATATTTTTTTTGAAGCATATTCAGTTTGTAATGAATATTATTTAACTTTGTTTTTTTTTCTTTAATATAAATTTTATTTGCATAATTGTTTTGTATTACAATTAATTTACATAGTTTTATATTATATATCCTAAATAATTTTTCAAAAACAAATTTAGAAAAAAAAAACAATTCCATGATATCATACACTCACCAACGGAATTGCCGACGAAATTACTCCCTCGGAATTTAACAGTGGCTGCTACACTTACCGACTAATTTACAAATAAATATATTCGGTCGGTATTTCATACCTCACCGACCGACTTACCAACGGAAAAACTCCATCGGCATTTCACAGTAGCTGCCACACTTACCGATGAATTTACAGATGGATATATTCGGTCGGTATTTCATACACCCACCGACAGCCCTATCGACGTGACGATGGGTTTCCGTCGGTAAATCGCGATATCACCGAAGGAATACAAATTAGTTGGTATATTCAAGTGGGAATGCTTTTTGTTTTGCGCACAATTTCCATCTGTAAAACCATCAACAAATGGTTTTTTTGTTTTTCCGACCGATATAGCGATGGAATGTTGAATCACGAATGAAAGGTAACCCGACGAACATAATCCGTCGGTGATGACATCAGTAAAAAAATCACCAACGACCTTCTAATCACATACCGATGGAATATTTCCGTTGGTAAAACTGTTAAATCTTGCAGTACACTTTCTACGTCTAAGAAGTTAGGATGCATGCATGCCATTGATGTGAAAAGCCTGCTATAAATAATATAATAGAAAAGAAACTATAAAAAATATAAGATTTAATGTGGTTAGGTAATGTATTTATTTTTATAAATGTGAGATTTTTTTTATCAAGTCAAAATAGAATTGCATAATATATATTTATAAAAGACCCTAAATCATTAAAAAAATCTATCACGTAAGGAATATTAAATGTCCAGGAAGTATTAATAATTCTTTTTTTTGCTAATACCCGTGCAGTGTATAAATTAATATATTGATAAAGTGAAGATGATCATGATAAACCAGAATACTCAGCATAAAATCCACGTTTATGATTTTAAGTTTGATTTCATTCAAAAAAATGTACTGATAAAGTGAGGGTCAGAAACCGGAAAACTCTACAAAAGTGGTCCTTCGTTTTATCATGAGCCGGTGGGCGATTATATTCCTGCTCATCGGAGCTTTCTAGACAGCAGGACGTGGCAATATCTTATACCTGTAATTTTTGCATGATAAACATTCGTCTAATACACAGAATTTAAAAAATTCTCAGCTGATAAAGAAGAAAGGACATGTGTCAGAAATATGATTCTAATTGCTGATGAAAAGGGTGGATAACTGATAGAATTCGACAACAATGAGAGATCATGATATCGAATTCTCAGGAATATCATCATAATAAATTTTCTCTAGTTAAGAATCCTAGTTCGGTAATCGGCACACTTTTCGTTGCATGCTTAAATTTAACGTGGAGTAAACGAAGATACCAGAAAGAGCCAGCCTCCAATTTTTTTTCTGGGCTTTTTAAGTCAAAGCTCTTCAATTGTGGAAATTTCTGACCGACCGTACATGCTGCCTAATATGATATAGGAACTTTCGTTTCGTCATAGATTAAAGAGAGGGTTATTAATTTTTTAACAGGATGCTGATGATAATATAATATTTTGTAGGCCTTAATCTTCATATGTTTGGAAGCACTTACGAGGTGTTTTATGCAGAGAATATTTCAGTGTGATTTACAAAGTTGATAATGTGGTGGATCTTCAAGAAACAATCTCCTTCTTGTACGGCCCTTACGTGGTTTAAGTGATTTTTTCCGTGCTAATCAAAGGGTAGATCGCTTTTTGACAAGCATCTTCTCTTTCCAAATGTCTGCTTTTTGGTGCCCATCTGTCAGCTTTCGGTTTTCTTTGCATTGAACGTGTGCGAATCTTAAACATGGAAAATAAAAGGCCCTCCAATCGGATAAATCAAGTTTCTTCTCCACCTCATATGCTCATATTTGAAAATATTCAAAGGTATTGGCCTGAATTAATTATGCCTTTTCAAGAATGAAATAGCAAAATGCCAAGAAATGGTTTCAAAATTTTGAAGATTACTCTAAAAAAATTGTCACGGATGGCCAGATGTTTGAAACACCGGGTTCATGTAAAAGATCGGGGATATTGGTATATATGAAAGATTATTGATGTTAGTTTATATTTATTATAGTTAATTTATTGGTTATATTTGATATTAACTTTATTCATATAAATATATTTAATTTATTAATAAAAATTTATTTATATTTACTATTTATCAAATATTTTATTAATAAATCTAAAATAAAGATAAAATCATTGCTGAATTTAAATTGGACATTAATTAGAGCTATAGAGACTAATACATATTATATTCTTTTCTTTATGAAATAAAATAGTTATTCACATAAGTTAAGATATGAGGAATACCTGTAATTAATATATTGATACTTGTAAAATGATATGGGTAGTAAATTAACCCATGTCATAATTTCATAAAAAGAGATCATAAGTATCTATGGAAAAACTCACATGATAATTGTGTAAGTTATCTTATATAAAAAGCTTTATATTTTAATTCTATTACACATTGTCCTAATCAATGGTAACAAATGGACAAATATTATATATAACATGAACTATATGAAAGTATTTAAGTAATCAAGAGAAGATTCATCATCTTAGGTGAATTATGAAAAATATTTTATATGTTGTCAAATAGTATTGATTGTAAATCCTTGTGCAAGGTAAAATAAGATTTGAAAAGAGTTTCAAATTTTATTTAAAGAATTAATGACTGTAGTGTTAAAAATAAAATGATTTGGCAGAGTAAACACACTCCATGATAATATCTAAATTGGAATATTATTGATGAAGGATAACAATTGCATTGAGAAACTATTCACTAAAAGGTTAAGTCAAACTACTTATGAATTTTCTAATATTTAGGGAATCATAACAGGTTGTCAGATATTATACTTGATTTTCAAATATAAATCAAATAATTATTGAATTGATAATAAAATAATTTGTTTAATTTATTTAATCTTATTTTATTTAGGGTTATGATTTATATTTGAGACTACTTATTAAAAAACCTAATGAGTCACACACATAAAAACCTTTGATCATAAATAAAAAATGCAATAATTAATTAAGTATGACTTGTTTATAAATAAGTTTTTGAAATTATAGATCAGAATGTAATTAATATATGAGATTACAATTTTAGATTTAGAAGCAATCAAATATAGACTTGATTTAATAAATTTTTAAAATTAGCTGATATAAATGATGTTATTTAAGGAAAAAATTGATATTTATATTTATTTATAGGGTTTTTATTTTTTTCTCTAAATAAAAAATTAAGTCTTTTATTTTTTAAGATGAAAAGAATATAACAAAATATTTAATATATAAAAAAAAGAGCTAACACTCAAAAGTATAATAATTAGTTTTTTTTAAAAGGATTTAGGAGATTTCTTATTATTAGCTTATATAGATTATTATTAAAGACTAAATACTTGAGTAACTTATAATTTATAATAATATAAAATTAAAGAAATTATTGAAAATATAAAAAAACATTTATTTTTTTAATAATCTTTATATAAACACTAAATAATCCTAAAATATTAAATTTAAAGTTGAAGTGAGCTGGGAATCTGTCATTTTCTAATTATTATCGTCACATTTTGCTTGTTAATTAATGCTCATGATGGGAATGTCTTATTCGACAGGTTGACATTAAGTAATCATCAAGAGTACATAGGGAATCAAATTGATTACAAATCTTAAACATTTTATTCCCTTTCAGTTGATATTCTATCAAGGAAAGCAATTAAGAATGCAAACTACCCCTCCTTATGGCTTGTATAAATAGACCATCTCCAAGGATATGAAATTCCTCAAAGCAAAGCCTTGTAATCTCTCACAACAAACTTCTCAAGACATAACATTCCCTTTACCTACTTAACTTCTGTTAATTCTTCGTAGATATGGATATCGTGAGAAGGTTGGTTGCGGACAGGCCAGTCGTGATTTTTAGCAGGAGCACTTGTTGCATGAGCCACTCCATTAAAACACTTATATCTAGCTTTGGGGCAAATCCTACAGTTTATGAGCTAGATCAAATTCCAAACGGGAAGCAAATTGAAAAGGCGTTAGTGCAGCAGCTAGGATGTCAGCCAAGTGTACCAGCTGTTTTCATAGGCCAAGAGTTTGTTGGTGGTGATAAGCAAGTCATGAGCTTACAAGTCAGGAATGAGCTAGGCTCTTTGCTTAGGAATGCAGGAGCTATATGGATTTGATCAGATGGAAGTATTACGTGATATTTACACATGCATTAGTTCGGTACTGTACTTCGCTGGTGCTGAAGAAGCAGAATAAGTAGTCTTTTCTTCCTCCTTTTTTTTTTAATCCAGTTTTCATACGATAAATGTTGATCATCGGCCAAGGCGTCAGATATTTTGTAGAGCCTCTTGATCCTTTTTGGCGGTCAGGATTAACATTAAACATGTCCAGCTATCATCTCTAGCTAGTCTGTACTAAATAAAAGGAGACGCATAGCTTAATTACGTGCATTATGCATTTGCAACATTGGTGTTATATGTCTTTAGTTTTTGTGTACGTCAGGAAAGTGAAATAAAAGTTTCTCATCTTCCAACCATCTGTTCTTAATTAATAGTTGAGGATTTGTTTACCAACAAGAAGAAAGACTGACTAGTCTGTTTTGCAGAACTTGAGTTTGTTTTCATTTTTCACTTAACTATGCATATTTTATTGTGAAAAGCCAATGTCGCAGAGTTTGTTAGGAGTCATTTTTATTTGAAACTACCGTTTTGCTTTGATCCTTCATTTTAGTTTGGAATACCGAGCCATGTCACTGCACCATTAAATAGTTTTATTGATAGATTTATTCTGTTAGTGTAAGATATGCAATTCATCAATACAATATTTATTGATAGTCTCACAGATGGAACACGTTCATCAGAATTTTGATTGTCAGCAATTTTCCTTGCCGTCATTAATTCTGTTGGAAATAAAAAAACCAAACACCGACAATCTTATATACGGCGAAGCACCTCAAAAAATTTTCCTGCTAGAACTTTACCAACAAAATAAGTTTGTCTGTATTTTCAATAGTAATTGACACAACCAAAAGATTGATATCTTTTTTCAAGTGCACGAGTGTCAAAGTAATAAATAACTCTGTAAAACCGGGATCTAATTACAAGGAGGTTAATTATATAAATTATAAACAACAACAACAATAGTAGTAGTAGTAGTAGTACTAATAATAATAATAATAATAATAATAATAATAATAATAAAGAAGTTAATGAAAACTTTGAGATAGAAGATTAATATGAGAATTAAACAATGATAAAAACAAATGTCAAGGTTAGAGGATTCACTAATAGTATTTCAAACAAGTATAATATAAACTCTTTTTATTTCTCAATTGGAAACAACACACAAAGGAGTTTCCAATCAGATTATAAATTTTTAACATCATTACATTAGTTATTTTATTTAAATAATACTAATACTTGTAAATGTTGTCAAGTATTCATGATTATAACTTATGTTAACAACAATTTAAGTTCTTTTCATAGCAAAGGTGTAGGTTATACCATACGGTTGGGCTATGAAAGTGCCAAGTATTTGTTATACCAAGTGTTATACACCATGAATCTAGATTAACCATATAACAAGCAAAGTATTAAGAGTGAACAAGATAACAAATACAAAACATGATAATATCAAATATTAAGGTCCATGTTGAGTTCACACCATACTTATTCTTACACTATTAGTGTAACTTTTTCACCTTGACATAATAAACTTAACTAAACATAATAAAAGAAAGAAAAATAAATAATCAAAATAAGAACATAAATAAGATAAAAGTTAACTAAGTAAAGAAAATGAAATGAAAGGTATAAACTTGATATTAATGAAAACAAAACATAAGCAATACAAAGAGAGAGTAAGAGAATGATCTTGATCTTGAAACCAAGATGCCTAAATGCATGGAAAATACCTCTTTTTATAGGCCAAAATTTGAAATTATTGATTTGATGACTAATTGATGAGTGGGTGGCCAACTCTTGACTTGTGGACAATCTTTATCTTCTCTTGTCTGCCTAAAACATCATTGACCAACTCTACATGAAAGTTGTAGGAAATTTTCTTAGCTTTTTAGAAAAAAAAATGGAGGTCATTTGGACTTCTAGAACTCTAAATATAGGTTGAACACTGAATAGTATCTAGGTTGCAGGACAGATTTGGATTTTTTCGTTGTTGCTACAATTTGGACTTGAAAACAACTTTATTAAAACCACACCTCAAATGAAAGTTGTAGGCCTATGTCTTACCTTTCCATCCATATAACGTAGACCTAAATTTAAGATCTACAGCTTCATATATGACCCAATTACCGAATAGTGTTCCAGTTTATACTGCACCAGCATCTCTTTTCTAAGTTTGGCCATCTCTTTATCCTTTCAATTTTAGTACTTAAACTCATCAATCAATCCTTTTATTTATATGATAGGCTTGCATTTAAGATGATCATTTATCATAAATTAAATGTATATTTTATTATTAGATATGTTATTATAAAATATGCTTTAGTTAAGGAGTTAGTAATACTTCAAGTACAAAATGATAATATAAAACCTTGATAAAAATGCACTTTTAAGTACTAATCACACCCCCCAACCAGCTTATTACTAGTCCCTAATGACACGACTAAAAGATTGATGTCTTCTCCCAAGTGCAGGAGTGTCGAAGTAATAAATAACCCGGCAAGATTGGGGTCGAACCACAAAGAGGTTAATTGTACAAATTATAAATAACAATAATACAACAACAATAAGAATAACAACAACAACAATAATAATAGTAGTAGTAGTAACAATAATAATAATAATAAAGTAAAAGAAGGAGAAGAAGAACAAGAAGATGAGAACTTTGAGATGAAATATTAATGTAAGGATTAAACATTGCATTCATTCGAGCCCACATTGTGGAGACCTGAAGTTCCTCTCCAATTGTTTTTCCAATGATGTCCCCATGTGCTAAAACTTCGGGGACGACCCCCAAAACTTGACTACCTCATAAAAATGCAGCTATTGACACACCTCCCATTAACCCCAGACTGCCTCCCCCATACACTAAATAAATCTTTCTCTCAGCTAGCACCTGACCAAGATGATTTGCTGATTCTAAAAACTCCTTTTCTTTCCCAGGACTAGATCCACCGAAAACACAAATATTTCTTATGTGATGACTTGAGCAACTTGCTATTTCTACACACTTCTATATTTAATGAATGTATGGGTTGAGTGGAAATGAAAGGAAGGAAGAGAGGATTTTATAGATGAGAAATTAAAAGGGCAATCATACCATCTATATGTAGGCCAGCTAGAGTCTCACACTCTCTCTCTCTCTCTCTTTATTTATTTATTTTTGAAAAAGCATGTCTATGTACAGGTAGTTGTGATTGTGGCTCACATTTTCCCTTGGTTTTACGTCCAAGAACGGATTAAACGCCCTCTATAGGTCAGGGATAGGCTTCCCATCTAGTTTTCTTAAAAACTGGCAAACATGGTCTTTTTTAGTTAGATTCCCAAGACTAAGTCGATCATGTCCTTTATGAAAGTGGGGCCATAAATCATGAATTGCACGATGCTTATCTCGATTATGATGAGACTTAAGAGTCAATAGAAGATTATATAAAGACTCTCTGTGTTTTGAAATAAATCCCACCTTTTGACAATTTTCACAGGTTTTGCGAGATGCATATGATTCCTTGAATATGGTGGGCTAGTAAAATCTGCTTTGTAAGATTTCTACAGTCCTCTTTTTTAACGAGAAATGAACCCCACATGCCTTGGAGTGACAAAATTTAATAAAATTACTTGCCTCATTGTCAGGAATGTATTTTTGAAATATTTGATCATGACAATAATTGAATAAGTAAGGGTCATCCCAATAAACATTTTGCACATTGCTCAGAAATTTTCTTTTGTCTTCGGTACTCTAGTGAGCTGGCAAAAATCTTGAAGCAAGAAAATTGATATTTTTAGCAAACCAAGGCATTGAACTAAGAGAAAGTAGAGATTTATCAGGAAAGTAATCATCGATTGGTGTGATGTCGGGTGTCGAATCTATTGTCACTTTTGATAAAAGATCCGCATCAACATTTTCAGTGCCTTTTTCATCCTTGATTTCTTCCTGATTGGTCATGGCATGAGAAAATAGAAGTGCTGGAGGGGAATCAGTCTTTTCTTTACAATGTTCAGATTCAACCACTTCCTTACCCTTAGAGATTGACTCATCATCTTTCTCACAAGGTTCAAGAGTGGGTTTTTCAATAACCTTACCACTGCAAAGAGTAGTGACTAATTTAACTTGATCTATGTGTTGGCTTCCAGAACTACTTGCATTTGCATTGTATTGCCCCTTAGGATTTTGTTGTGGTTAAGGTGGAGACTTACCTTTCTCTTGGAAACTGAGAGCAAATGTCAATTTTGCAAGAGTATCTTTAAAATCTATCATGTTTTGAGCAAGTTGAGTATTGATTGTCTCTTGCTTTTCAATGAATGCATACAAAGTTTCCTCAAAATTTCTTCTAGGAGGTGGAGAATAAGGAGGTGTATATCCATAAGAATTTTAGAAATTGTGGTGTGCTTGAAACTATGGTGGTGAAGTTTGTGCATTGTCACTCTTCCAACTAAAATTTTGGTGATTTCTCCAACCAGGATTGTATGTTTGCGAGTATTGGTTATGATTGGCCCTTTGGAAACTGTTTAAAGCATGAGCTTGTTTATAGAGACATTTCTTAAAAGAAGGCAAGGTTGGACAGTTATTGGTTGAGTGCTCATTTGTTTCACATATTTGACACACAATGTTTTCAACAGATTTTAATTGACCATTCCTTTTCAATTCTAGTGCCTCGACTTTTCTAGCTAAAGATGCAAACTTGGCTTGAAGGTCATGATCTTCCCTAAGGTTATACATACCTCCACTAGATGAATGAGATTGAGTTTTACTCGGTGCCTCATAAGTACCCGCAGTGTCCTAATTTTGAGCATTTTTAGCTAACAAGTCTAAGTACTCCATTGCTTCATCAGGGTCTTTATCTTCAAAAGTTCCATTGCACATCAATATTACCATTTGCCTATCTCTAGGTGTTAACGCTTCATAAAAATGTGAAACCAATCTCCATGTTTCAAAACCATGATGAGGGCAAGTACTAAGCAAGTCTCGATACCTATCCCAACATGGATAAAATGTTTCTCCTGGTTTTTGAGTGAAAGTGGTGATTTGTCTTTTGAAAGAGTTTGTTCTATGAGATGGGAAAAACTTCTTTAAAAACTGTTGTTGCATTTCATCTCAAGCACGAATGGATCCTGGTCTTAAATTTTATAGCCAAGTTTTAGCTTTATCTTTTAATGAAAAAGGAAAAAGCTTTAATCTGATGGTGTTCATGCTACAATTTAAATTATTATATGTGTTGCAGACCTCCTCAAATTCC